GAAGGTGGTGTTTTTTAGGGGGACGAAGGCAGAATATTTCCTTTGAGAGGAGAAAATAGCCCATTGTTGAAGCATAGGATGAAATTCTGATTCTAATTTATTCTCTTTGAACCTAATGGTAAATGCTACTTTCTGTAAGATGTGGTCCTGAGGGCATTTCCTCTAACTAAACCTTTCCTCCAAAAGGCTGGCACCTTTTGGACTGCTAAAGACAGATCCCCACCCCCGCCCACCATTCCACATTTCAGATTTTGTTTCTTGGGAGAAAGCAATGGTCAGCCAAAGTCTCTGGAGGTAGCTGACGTTTACTAGTTGCTGGTGTCCAGACTCTGCACAATGCTTTCCCACCCTCCACCCGGTAGAACCCGCTTGCTCCTTTCATTATTTAATCTCAGTGGCGAACCACCATTTGAATCTGCCTGAGTTTGTAAAGGGGACATTCTGTCTCTTCTTGATTATGTCTTAATTTGTTCATTCCTTTACCCAGTGAACATTTATTGAGTCCCTCCTTTGTGCCAGGCACTGTGTCAGAGATACCAAGGAGAAGCTTTGGGAGAGATATCCATGTGTGTGTGTCTATATGCACAGATGCATCTCTCTCTCTCTCACTCACACACACACACACACACACACACACACACACACACACGGTATGATGTGATATGTGTGGATATGAACAGCACTGTCATGGAAGTGGGAACAGAGTGTTAGCATTCCGTGGGTCACTAACAAGGTGTAATCCACTGTGAAACTAGGGTTTCTCTTCAGAATTGGATTGGAACATCGTTTAATCTAACCCAGGGAGAGGGATTTTCCCAAGGCCACATAACTAGATTCCGAAAGAATGTGGCTCAGAATCCAGGCTTTGGACTTCTGTACTTTGTGTGTTGTTGTGCTCAAATGCCTCACAACAGACAGATAGCCTCCGTGGGCAGTGACCTACGATGCGGTAAAAAGTGAGAATGTAAAATTTGTATTTTGATGATAATTTCGTTCTATCGTTTGTACTTCTACTTGTTTACAAACAAGCAGCACTTTTCTTTAGAAGCTAGAGTATGACCTAATAGAGCAAATGGGGACTTCAGGGTTAGTAGAAAGGGAGGGTAAAGAGAAAACAAACTTTTGCTGAGCAGTCAGGCAGTGTTTAGACACCTTGACCTCTGCTGTCACATGTAGTCCCTTCAACAGCCTCGCAAGTTCCATGGTACTCTCATGGACACAGGGATAGGCCCTCCCCCCAAAGACATGCAGTTGTTCGCCTGGTCAAGTTCAGCTCTTCCTTTAGTTGTCACCTGTACTATTCCCCTGCTAGATGTGCACAGTCCCACTCTCTTTCCTTCTAGAACAGCGGTTCTCAACCTGTGGGTCGCAACCCGTTTGGGGGTCGAATGACCCTTTCACAGGGGTCGCCTAAGACCACCGGAAAACAAAAAGATACTTACATTACGATTCATAACAGTAGCAAAATTACAGTTATAGAGTAGCAACAAAAATAATTTTATGGTTGGGGGTCACCACAACATGAGGAATTGTATTAAGGGGTCACGGCATTAGGAAGGTTGAAAACCACTGTTCTAGAAACTGTCACAGTGGCAACTTTCACACACGTTTCCATGAATATCGGATGACCCATTTTTTGCCCTGCGCTGTGAGCCCTGTCAGTGCAGGGGCTGTGTGTGCTTGGCTCCCCTTTCTATCCTGGGTGCATGAGGAAAACACATTTTGAGGAGGTAGAGCTGGGAGTCAAACTGTTCTCACTACTACAAGGAATCTCTCTGTATAAATTTCTCTTGAGATCCTCTTTGAAAAGACAACATAGACAAACAAAAATATCAAACATTACCATCTATCCTCGTCTCTATAGTGGGTCCTTAGAAGTCACCGGGAAAATCCGGAATTACCTTGTTCGCATATCCAACCTCTGTCCACTCTTCGGTTCTGTTGCTTCTCTCCCCTGTATCGGTGGAGAGTCTCTGCTAGGCACAGCACTTTCTAGCTCAGAGCTGAGAAAGTATGTCTTGTCAGGACAGAGGCAGAAGTGTATGCCTCAGGTTTGACTGGAGGGCCCGATGTGTTCATTAGCTACTTTCCAGCTTCATGTCAGTCCCTCAACAAAGGTGCAAGGTAGGGGAGGGGATGGCACACAAAGAAAAACGTGGAAACGTCAGTTGTGTACCATGTATTAACTCTGAATGGCCCAGTTTTTTTTTTTTGTTTTTAACCAAATACATGTGTATTTTTAATTGCTCTGAAATGTGTGTTTTCTCAGACAAGATTTTTAGGAGGTTTGTGGTCACTCAGTAATAAATCAAATAGATCAAATTCATAAAAGAGATGAAATGATCTTTTTTCCCTTCTTATTTGCTCTGTCAAACCATTGTGTTAATACTTGCTCTTGCAAAATTTCTGGACATTCAGCTAAAGCCTCATGGTCCTCATGGGGCACTCAGAAAGCTGTCTTCACAGTGAAAGGGACCGGGCTTGGGGTAGAGGCTGGCCAGGCATGTGCAGTGCCCCTTCCGCTCTCTCCAGACCTGCACTGCTTATCTCACACTTTGCTGGACCCTGCACAGCAGGGTGGGTGAAGGATAGAATTGCAAACAGAAATTATATTTGCTTTTGTTGAGTGAAGCCAAAAGCCCTAATATTATTTTATGCACTCGATGTAGATGACAACTGACATGAGAAAGAGAGCTATTTTTAAGAGCACCATAAGCATCTTTACAATCATGGGTGTGGGGGAGGACACTGCAGGAAGTGTGTGTGTGTGTGTGTGTGTGTGTGTGTGTGTGTGTGTGTGTGCACGCGTGCATATGCATGCCTTTTAAAAGTTGTATTATATATAATCAATGTCTCCACCCTCTCTAAAAGGACCAGAACTGATTAGAAGAAAAAGACTTAACTTGATGCACAAAATTCTGTATGCATGCCAAATACTGGAGTGAAAAAACTTTTGGCATCGGACAGAAAAGACACCAACCAACCATTTGATTTCTATGTCTGAACACTCTCAAGATCTTGAACTCCTATATTTCATTTAAAAAATTGCTCCCTGAAGTGCAAACTTACTTCAATTTTTGAATAAAATCTAGCATTCAAATTTATAGCCACTTTGAAAACTGAGGGTTTATTTATATCATATAAACCTGAACAGATTCTTAATTACAGCAGTCCTGTTGCACATGGAGAATCTGGATGTAAAAAAAAACCAAAAAACCCAAAACTTCCACGTAGGTTTTTCCACATTTTTGGGATGCTTTCATAGGAGCCATCATTTATGGGAAATGTATTAAAATCCTGCCATATTGCAGTTTCAATTTAAATATACCACTTCCCAGAAGAGATTTTAATGTATCCTATAAAGGCACTAAAAGGTTTGGATTTTTTTTTTGGGGGGGGGAGGGGTTGTATTTTTTTTCCTGTCTCTTGCAAGCCAAGGTCCATTGAGAGAGATCCTGTTTTTTCGAGTGATCTGTGTGTGTGCTAACAACCTGTCGGGGAGTGCCTCTCTGCTCTGCTCGCTGTAGCGGGCAAAAGTCATCTTTGTTTGCATGAAAGTTAAGGTCTGATTGAACTAGGGTGAGCCTTTCATTTTAAGAAGAGTTAAAGACTGGGGTGTTTTTAATGTTTTAATCTCTGTTTATGAGGTTTCTGTTACGAGAGGAAAATTGATAACATTTTTACCTCAGCTAACGGGCCGTGCTCTAATCCCACGTTTACAATGATTTATATTCTCCGTGGCAGTGTGCGGTAACCCCAGAGTGATACCACTGTGGTGTGGATTGACTGCACTCCAAACGCTGGGATCACATACATAATGTTTGTACTTTTAAATAATATTCAGACACCAGAATAAATACCATATGTGCACCGAAGCTGGTTACAATGGAACCTTGTCATTTCTTGTGAGGGAGAACATTCTTTGTTTCTGATTCCTGTTTGAAATAAGTATGCAAAAGATAAATATGTACATTGACAGCATTTTAAGCAGGCTTAGGTAGGTACACAGCTAAGGATGGAGCTATGTGTCCTTGAAGGGTTGCATTTAAAACTGAAAAGAATTCTGTGTTGCCACCACCCCTCTTTGACATACATGAAGACATGGCTTGGTATCCAACGTTCCCAGTGTAGGGTCAGTTTTTATATTTTATGTCTACAGCACGCTGCACTTAATGGACATCTGCTGAAGAAAAATTACCTCCCTGAGCACTGTTCATAGGAACAGTGAGACTAACATGCTGATGACATGGTAACAGGGAGAGGAACGCATGTGATAATGGGGAGGGATGGATTGATTGGAAAGCCGGGACTCAGCGTGAGACCTAATGTCATCTGATGCCACAAAAGCAGAATTTAGGTGGCCTGACATCATCAAAATACAGATAATCAATCTCCCCTAATCCATTTTTTCCCGTATGATATTGAAGATTTAAAAGTTTCATAAAGTTTGGAAGTACCTCCTAAGTCATGCACTTTTAGATTTTTGTTTTTATCCATCGTGGTTGGAATTCTAATCCACCTCGACATATTTTTTAAACAGACATGGTAGAATGCCTTTCATATTTGTACATCTGTAACAGGCTCCAACAAGTCAATCCACATTTGCTTCTTGGGGAAGCATTTCCATCCAGGTTTTGCCGTCAGTGGAGCTCTATCGCGCTAGTGCTTATGACATTTCAATAATATTTGGTGGATGAGGAAACCCTGGGCATTGGGACTGATGGCTTCCCTACTCCTCAGCACCCCCAGCTCCACCCGGCTTTGTGTGGTTTGCCCAGAATATATAGCGTGAGATTAATGTGTGAGTCATACATCACAATGCACTTCTGACAGTTTATCTGGCACATGACTCAGATTGGGGAAGACTTGCATCCTTTCTGGGACTTATTTGTAGAAATGTTCCCTGTTATAAAAATGCTCAGAGGGCCCTTCTTGAGGTTGAGAAGTTACCAGACAAATAGAGTATATTGAACCTCTGACATACTGTCTCTCCTTTTCAGCTTTTCGGATGATCCCGTACCCCTTGGAAAAGGGACATCTGTTTTACCCCTACCCAATCTGTACAGAAACAGCAGACCGTGAACTGCTTCCATGTAAGTCTCACCTCTGTGTGCTCCCCGCTTCAGCCTGTGAGGGTAGCCTGCCTTGGGGAGCGGGGGTGGGGAGGAGAATGACACGTGCTTATAATGTTCCTTGTCTTTTATCACGCTTCTCCCAAACCCTTCCTCAATAACATGTGCATTCAAGTGGGTTATGGGAGTGGATTTGGCTTCCTGTTCCTCCACGTCTCCCCAGATTCATCAAAGGGAAGACCCCAGAGGACTGAGATTAGCTGAGGAGGCGTCCCGGGGGCCTGAACACAGAGCCCCCCAGCTTGGGGCTGAGGTGGGCTGGGCGGGCGGGTTCAGTGTGCAGGGTGCTTGCTGCCCGGTCCCCGATGCTCAGAGGCAGTCCGCACTGCCTGGGTTTGCAGAGGAAGCACTGACCTCAGAGGGAGCAGCGCATGAGTCAGGGAAGGGTGGGCAGCTATGCCAGAGGCGGAGCCGTGGGCGGGTGGGTGTTCTGTGGTGATGCAGTGCCCTTGGCCATCGGCACTTCCGTGAGCATCTCGGAATGGCACGTAGTGAGCGGCGTGCCATGTGCAGAGCACACGTGCAGCTCAGCACAGAGGGGCCCTGCCCGCGAGGGCCGGACCAGCTGGCAGTCCGACGGCCCATGCCGCGTGTGGAAAGTGTGATTTGGTTTACTGCAGCACAGCATTGTTTTGACAATCCTGGCCGACTAGTTATGATCAAACTATACCGTACACAGGGCCATGGCCAGGCTCTTCACGTGGCCAGATTTTCTCCCTCAGATAATAAGCTCCGAGTTTTGGCTAGTCCCTCTTCCCCATCCTGACGCCCGCCACCCCCTCCCTTTTACCAGCCCCAATTATATCATATCTCATAGCTGTAACATGTTTAAATACTTTGCCCAGAGGAATAGTGTAACTTTGGAGCCCGGGGTGCGTAGTAAATTGTCCAACACCAGCGTTATTGAGCGGTCGTAAATCTCCGCGTGGTGGGGCCTGGGTGCAGGCCGACGGGCTGTCTCAATCTGAAGTAGCAGGAGGTAGCTCGCTCGCTTTCCGTGCGAGCCAGCCCCACTGCGGGCTTCGTCACCTACGGAGCTGGGAGATTTCGGTTACGCGTTGCTCCTCACTGCCCGAGTTTTATTGTGAAAAGGGTCTGGTGTCTCACACTACATTAGATTTGATTTCAGAAATCCCTGTTATGGGCCCATACTTTACCTTTTGACTCCCCCCTTCAGGGAGATCCTTGTTAAAGTTTCAGTTTTCTGGTAAAAAAGACAGTTTTCTGAAAAGTACACTTTTAAAATGTTTTAGTTGAGCCCAATTAAGTTTCCATGGGGATGGATTCACTATTAGAACAAGATTACAGTTCTTATAAGAAACTTTATAGGAATAATCTTTATAAGCCTGAAATAGAAAAATTATGGCTCACGTTTAGTTAATTGAATGCAGCGGTCCAAGTCTGATCTCCCCTCAGGACCTTTCGGTGGGCTGGGTTTGGAGGGTGAGCATGTGGCGAGGCTTGATTGTTGTGAACCCGCCTTTGGCACAGTAAAAGTCTCCTTGTTGCCACAGTGACTCCACCCCACGTTTTAATCCTAGCAGGTTGCCTTCCCTGGATTGGGGTGGGTGCCGTGCTCTTGGTGCTTTGTCCCTCCTCCCAGGTCCTCCGCGGCTGTGTCAGCAGATAGATTCGTGTTTAGGGCTCGAAGCAATGAGAGCTGAGGGGTTGGAGAAAGAAAGGCCTTTAGATCTTGGATTTCCTGAGGAAAGTGGAGCCCTTGGGTGCTTTTGGTCCCGGTACCGGTAACTGCTCACGCGCAGATTCGGTGCTTTTGGTCCCAGCGTCAGTACTTCTTGCGTGCAGATTGGGTGCTCCCTCCACCAGGGTGAGGGCCACGGGAGCGTTTTCCTCTGGGAAGCCAGCCCCTACCTGCCAGGTCAGCAACCCACCAGCCCATGTCACAGGCAGCCGCAGAACCACAAAAAGCAGGGGGGTCCATTGTTTTGGCTTTTGTGCCACAGCTTTTTGGTTTCCCCAAACCCAATATTTGAATTTAAAAGTATGAAAGTCACCCTAAAGAGCATTAGTTATTTATTTCGGGGCTGTGGTGGTGGTGTTTGGAACTATATTTATCAAGGGTCTCCTACAGTTGTGCAACATGACCCTCACAGCCTTTATCCCCAACCCTTGCAAACAGAATCCATCAGCATATGAGGTCCTCGCTGAATGTCTCTATCTGGGTGGCCCCCTTCGTCTACATACATAGAGTACGCCAAGAAAAAAAAACCAACAAGATAAACTAATATCACCTCATTATAATGATTAAAAATTATAGGAAGGTGAAAAATCTAGAGCAAGGATTCTTTTTCAGCATAATTGATTTTGGATTTTCTGAGTTTTGTACAATGAACATGTGTTTCATAATCTGAATAAAGTTTTGTTTTATTTGTGTTTGCTTTTGAGAAAAGAATATTATATATTAGGCCTAGATAGTGTTCCTCTCCTGCCAGGATGTGCAATCCCAATTAGCCTATTATGCTTCCAGAGTGCTGAGGTTGAACAAGGACTTGGGAGATGCAGTTAGGCCGCTGAAGGCTCCGAGGTTGACTGTGGTTCGTTACAGTAGCCTATCTTGTTCATTTGCAAAAGACTTCAGCCCAAGCACTCAAGAGTCCATCCAACATAGAGAAATTCCCTGAGAAGGCATTTCGTTCCAGCCCTAGTATTTCCCTTTTGTCTTCTCCACAGCTTTCCATGAAGTCTCAGTTTACCCAAAGAAGGAGCTTCCCTTCTTTATTCTCTTTACTGCTGGACTGTGTTCCTTCACAGCCATGCTGGCCCTCCTGACACATCAGTTCCCGGAACTTATGGGGGTCTTCGCAAAAGCTGTGAGTACTTGCCAAGAGGGCGGCCTCGGGGAAGGGGCAGGAAAAGCAACTGAAGCAGCACAAGATGAGGGGATTGTCATGTAGAAATGGATACACCTGTATTGATCGTTTGCTCACTGTTTAATTTTTATTATCAGTGGAATCAAAGGTCGAGGGTCGAATGAGAAAGTGTAGGTTGTTTGTTAATACATGCCTAGCCTTCCTTCACACACAGAAAGTTCTCAGCAATTCCCCCCAAAACACACGAGGTCTCCCAGGATTAAGTTAATAATTAGGGGAATCCTAGCAAATGAAAAATGTGTGGAAAATGATTCAGTTTTTGTATAAACTGAATGATATTTTGAATCTTTAGATATTGTGGGTCTCTTTTCAAGAAAGATGAGATTTACGTTTTCAAAGATGATTTAAATAAAAACAATGTAATGGTTACAATGCTTTGGCTTATTTGGGGAATGAACTGAGAGGGTGTGGAGGGCTTGTGGTAGTAAGAAGTATGCAGATACTACGTTTAGAATTATGGAAATCCACTGAGAGCCTTTAAGGAAGGTTGTGGAGAAGAGCTTTAATCAGAAAAGCTATCTGCATGGACAGTCAAGAACCACTGTCTCCTTGCTGAAAACTGACCATTCCAGGCTGCACTTGCAGTGAGGATAAGTTCACTGGTTTGGCCACAGATGATTTCAAACAGAAGGAATCAGGAAAAGAGTGTGCATTGCTTTCCTGGAACTCCGTTCTGATCTCAAGGCGAGTGGAGTCGGGAAGGATGATTGCTAACTTGGCTGGGTTGATTTAATCCCTTTCCAGATGATTGACATGTTCTGCTCGGCAGAGCTCAGGGACTGGAATTGCAAGAGTATTTTCATGCGTGTTGAAGATGAACTGGAAATCCCACCGGCACCTCAATCTCAACATTTCCAAAACTGAACTCATCACCCTTCTTCCCTCACCACCAAACCACTCCTCCTGTACTCCTGACCTCCGCCAGTGGCACTGCCACCCACTCAGTTACCCAAGCCAGAAACTCAGCAGCCCCCCTCAACTCCTTCTCTCACTGCCCACATCCCAGCTGTCTCAGCCTCCTCCATCTTGGGTCTAACCTCCTAAGCCACTAGACTTTCAATGTAATTCACCTCTTCTTCCCCTCCTCATCCCCCCACAGCCCCTTTCTTAATTTAGGTCTCTGTTATTTCTTGCCTGGACGCCTGCAAAAGTCTTAACTGGTCTCCTTGCTGACAGTCTTATCCTCTGTCAGTCTTTCTTTCATGCTGACACAAAAATGATCTTTCTTAATTACAGGTCTGAGCATGTCACTTCCCTGCTTCAATTTCTCCAGGGGTTCCCCCCCATTTTCAGGATAAGTCCCAGCTCTTTAGCATGGCATGCAAGACCCCTTGGAATCTGGCCCTTGCTTGCCTCTTTAGCCTCATTTCTTCCAGTTGTTGCACAGACACTGCTCTTGGGCCACAGTGAATTACTCACCATTCCCAGTGCATCAGGCGACTGTCCACCTCAGCGCCTTTGTACACGCAGTTTGCTCTGCATGGAATGTTCTTCCCATCCCCACCCCACCTGTCCACTCTACTAATGCCTCTTCATTCTTTTATCCTCAGCTTTCTTTCTAACTTTCTCCTAAGCTGAGCTAGATCTCTGCTTTGTGATCCCACAGTATTCCACGAATACCTATATTATCACATTTATTGTACTGTATTATAATTGTTGAAAACTTGTCTGTCCCCCTTTAGAATGGGAGCTCCTTGAGAGCAGGACTGTGTCTTCCTCATCTCTGTATCCCCAAAGCTTTGCACAGTGCATTGCACATAGTAGGTTCTCAATAAATGATTATTAAATAAATAAATGGTAGTGGTTTCTGCAGAAAGAATCGATGTAAAAAATCAGATACAGCCTAGCATTTCTTCTCTTCTTTGATGTTTATAACCATGGATTCTTAAAGTTGAGAGGGACCTTAAGCAATTGCCTTCAACAGTAATGTGGTGGAGGTCACCTAGACTTGTCTTGGGTCCTTTCAGCAATGGGGAGCTCACCATTTCATATCGAAGCCCATTTCATTGTTGGATCTCTCAGAACTTTTCTTTATACTGATAAAATCTGCTTTCCTTTTTCATTTCCACTGTCGTTCCTATTCTTCTCTCTGAAACCATAGGAAACAAGCCTATTTGCTCCTGCAACTTCTTCACACAGCTCAGCTCTCACTCAGGGTTACCTCTCCCCTCTGACTGCCCCCTCTTCTCTCCAGGCAGAAGACCTTCAACGTCCTTACGTCTTCTGTGCATGACTTCCAAGCCGCGCATCGCCCACCTCACCGCCCTGTTGCTCCCTAGTGTATGGTCTTGGCTGTTCATTACTTTCTTCTACTCCCAAGCCAACCTGTGAATAACAGTAGTTGCCAAACTTCTGGGCAGATTAGAGTGCCACTTAGTACATTTTAAGTAAGAATATACTTACAGCATTAGACAAGTACTGTTCTTCCTTTTACGTTTGTCTCCTAAACATTTTTTAAAGCACATTTGGCCCAGTATTCCTCATTAAACTGAAAAATAGCACTTGGTAGGAATTTTGGATCAGAACAGATTCTCAGCTCCACTGTGCATCAAATCGCCTGGTACCCAGCACCAGAAAGTCAGAGCTGTGAGTGTTAGCACCCAGGACCCCGTGTTTCTAACAAGGACCCAGCACACTCTGACGACTGCGCTTGAGGACCGTATTTCCTTTCAATAACAGCCACAGGCGTGTGGAGGGCTCTCAGAGCTGTTGGGGTGACCACCTTTAGGGCTCAGTGGTTTCACCCTGGCTGCACCGTGGAATCATCTAGGGAGCTTAACTATTACTGATGCCCGGCCCCCCGGCCCCCACCGGGGTCTGACTTGATGGGCATCTGAGTTTTGAGACCCTCTCTGGCATAGAACCAGGGCTGTGAGAAGCACTGCACGAATGAAATGACTAATTGCCTGAAACCACTTTAACTGTGTGTGTGTGTGTGGGGGGAGAATGGGGGAAAGGGGGAAGGGGGAAGTAAATAGACTAAACTGGACTGGGCATTCTCTAGGAAGGACTGGGCAACCTCCAGAATATCAGAGAGATGTGTTCATTACGGATGTGAGACAAGGGTCCACGCTCCTCATTTAATTTTTCCAAGTTTTGGTTTTGAGTCTAAGATCCAATGATGGAATAAAATATAAGTTTGCCTTCACGGGCCTCATATTTTATGCTCTACCAAGGTGTGGTCGTTTGGTCAGCTCCTCATGATTTTCAAATGTGGTTTAGATAAATTTGCTTTTAAGCCTCTGTCTGGAGGATCCTATCCATCTTGTCCTTCATTAAGGTTTAGCAGTTTCCAAAATGTCTGGAGAGACTCGGTGTGGACAGAAGATGGATGGCCTGAAGGAGATGAGCCCGTCACCCTCCTCCCCACCGCCCGAGTCTTCTTCACATTTTCACCCTTGTCACTTCATAGGGCCCCTCGTGAAGTCCCTGCAGGTTATCACAGCCGCCCTATGGGCTGCCTGCAGCCATTTGCAGCCTGTGAAAATGATTTTCTCAGCCCTGCCCGAGATAAGTCCCTGGGATAATGACTTTTAGTAGATGCAGAGAGATTGCACGCCGGCCTCCAGGCCACATGTAGCTTGGGAACTCGCCAGTGTGTTTACATGTGGATCTACAGCCAGTAAGGAAGCTGGAGCAAAGTGTGAGCCACTGGAAAATAGTAAAATGAGCCGTTTCAGCGGTCTCTCGCCCTAATCTAATCTACCTCAATGACTTGGGACGGACTCTTCCTCGAATGTTTGGTTACCAAGATAAGGATGCCCATATAAATAAGTTATGTTCCAACCCAGCCCCCCGCAGAATGTGGGGAGGTCAGCATTCTAACCCCTCCTGCTTTCAAGGGCCCTGCGTTGCTCCTCTGGCCTCTCTCTTTCCTTCCTCGAGCCTGAGCCCCCTGACTTCTGACTCTCGTCTTCACTTATAGGCCCTGGCCTCTTTGAAGTCTGATATTGATTACAGTGAAATGTCAATTGTCTGATTGTGAAGGGGCACCTGGAACATATTCAGATAAACAGAAGCGTTTCGAGTGGTAATGAAGCATGTTGGGAGGCACGACCTTCCAAAGAATGGTGTTTCAGGAGGAGGATGATCAGGAGACTTTTCTTAGTTCAGTTGCTTTTGCTCCCCCATAAGACTGATTGGATTACACCATGTTATGCACCAGGCATCTCTGCCCTCTGGAGAGAGGTGTGCATCCTGGGAGATGAGCTCTCCCAGGGTCGCCTGCCGTTCCTCATTCAGATTTTCCATCCAGGCCTAGTTTTCCTAAGTCTGTGAGTGAAACTACTGCATTGGGTGTGTCTCAGGCCAAAAAAAAGGGACTGATTTTCAAACATGCAAAGAGCATCCCAAGCAAGGCATACTCAACCAAGCATTTTTGTAATGCCTCCTGATGAAAGTTGCTACCCTATATTTGGTTCCTAAGTAAAAGGGCTCAGCAGCTCCCAAGCCTCATTGCATGGTCTGCCTCTCCCTGTGGGTGATGGAGGGGGAGGAGATGGGGGTGCGGGGCGGGGTGCTAAGGAGGAAAGTAGCTTAGTACTTCAACTGGGTGCTGCAAGAGAATTAGGGTCTCTAGGAAGAGGGTCAAGAGCTCCCAGGTTAGAACATTCTAGATGTGAGGGAGAGCAGTAAGTTATCACATACATTGGAGGTGTGGGGACTTAATTATCTTGTGGAACCTTGTTGAGAAGGTGGGTGTAGGCCGGGGAGGCAGGCTCCATGGTACGCAGTGTGGGAAGAGGGGAATTGCAGACCTCCAAAAGGGTGAGGCTCACCTCCTGATTTCCAGAGGCCTCACCTTCTGCATTTTTTATACAAGTCAGGTCAGTGCCCAAACAAAGCAAACAATCCCACAGGCCTTTATTTTGAACCAACTTTGTAACAACATCTCCATTCATTCTGCTGCCGAAGTTGAGGCTCCCAGAAGTCTCCACATTTTAGTGCATGAAATTGCCGGGAGTGTAGGCTCTGAGCAAGCCTCTCATCTGAGCGCCAATACTTAAGCTGTTCCTCCTCCTCAGGCACAGCGTTGGTAGTTCTGAATCTGTTTTGGGTCAAGTCTTCAGGATATGATAATTTCACCAGCAATATCACTTTGTTCACTGAGCCCTATCTTCCAACCCCTGTCAGGCTCTCTGGTTTATCCCTACCATTTTAGCACCTAGCTCCTCTTTATGGAGCTGAATATCATAGGTAAATGCTGTGTTTGGTGAAGGTTTCGTGGTCTCTGAACACATAAAAATAAGTAAAAAAAAAATATGCGTGTGTGTAGTTTTAATTTTATAATATCATGTTGGAGTAATGCAATCAGTCGACTTCTTCCATGTTATCCTCTCATAACCAGGATTTTACAAACTCTTTCAGAGGCAGCTTAGGAAGTAATTACTCATTCCTGGGCCCAGGATCTCCCATGATACCTTATTAACTGCATTCAACTCTAACCTGAGAAGGGTAGGCAGTCCGTTCTGTAGGGTGAGCGCCGCAAGTGGTTCTGTGCACCCAACAAAGGATAATTCAGAAGATTACTGGAAATACCCATCTATCTAACACCCACTTGGCGAAAGGAAGAGCTGCCCACCTTTGCTCCAGTACTAACATGGCTTTCTGTTTCTTAGCTGCAAACCCAGCCTGGCACTCAGGGCCCTCTCCAGCATTCTTCTAGTTACTTCTGAACGCTAACTCTTCCAGCTAAGCGAAACTTGACTATCTTCTGGTCTTAACAGTTGGTTTCCCACTTCTGTTCCAGTTGCTTCTTGCGCCTGGAGGGCCCACCGGCTCATGTTCCTTTCCTTCCCATCCTTCCCCCACCTCAGTCTTTTGATATCCAACCGTCTGTCGGGGTCTATTACAGTTGCCTAATTTTACATTTTCTTCTGCTCCTTTCAATAGACTGGATCCCTGTTCTGAGCCCCCCCCCATGCTTCTGTTCTGTTGTGGTCTATCTGGCATTATTACTTTGCTGTGGACAGGTCTTAGCACCCATGCCTCACCCCTGCTTTGTCAGTGGGAGTTTTGTCCTAGACGCCTTTATATCTCACCCAACACTTAAGTGCCTTAGTGAGTAAATATATTCAATTGATGTAAAGGACGCAACATTGAGGAGGATTCCAAATCTATCTTGAGTTTCCTTCATGCAGATTTGTATTCTACTGGTTCAAAAAAAAAAGAAAAAAGAAGGAAAGGTTCTGAGGCCAAGTGAATTTGGGAAACTTCGCTACCCCTCTTGAAGACCCACAATCCATAGAACCTATGACCAGTCGAGAAACCTGTTTTAACTTCATTAAATGCAGTCTACTAATTTGTCTGACCTCAGAAGCATGTTNGAAAGTCCTGCAGTCCCCAGGTGGGGTCCTCGCGTGGCACCTGATGCCAGGCAGCACCAGTACCCCTCCGCTCTGGTGTGGCTCTGCTGAGTAATAAACAAATTGGACAGCGGCATGTCCTACCCAAGGAGCCTGTGGAATTTTTCTCAGTGGGCCCCAAAGGCTCTCAAAAGGTGAACAAGTCAAGAGCCACTTTTCTCCTGTGCAACTTTGTCACCTCTGACCTCTCCACATGCCTCCTTTCAAACTGTCTTAGCTGCCGCCCAACACAGTGTGATGAGCGCCAGGCACCTCTCTTCTTCCAGATAAGGGTGAATCTTCAGAGGAAATGTGACTGCCCTGGGCCAGGGCACGAGAGCCCCTGGAGCCCACCGCCGTCACCCTCATCTGCAGAGGCCATGGCCTGAGCCCC